AGCCAGCAAGCATACCCGCAAATGCCTTTCCACTGGTTTCCATGGGTTACCATCATTTACTGATATATCTAGACTTTATTTACCAGAACTTGCGTCTGTGACTTCTTTGCATATCGACACATGGTTTAGTTTCTTATAAGATTCTTGTATTAATGATGTGCAGTGGGTTATCGAAGGGCTAAAAAATGGTTTCTTTCTTGATGTACAGGCTCCACATACAAGGTCGGCAAAGCGTAATTGCCGGTCTGCTTACAAACACCCTACTGTTATTAATAATTATTTGCAGGAGGAGCTTAGTGCGGGATCCATGGCTGGGCCTTTTTCGAGTTACCTCTACAGGACTTGCACATTAATCGATTCTGGGTGATCCCCAAGTCAATCCCAGGAAAATATCTACTTATCACAGATCTGTCTTTTCCAGTGGAAGCAAGCACCACTGACTGAATTACAGACAACGAAGCAGCCATCGCTTATTCTGGCATTCCAGAGGCATTAAAATTAATTATGTCCCTTGACGCCAGCTGCTTTTTAGCAAAATTTAATATAAGTATCATCTACTGCCTATTCCCCTTATTATGGGAGGGTAATTATTACCTTGATTTGGCACTTATCTTACGTTTGGCTTGAGTTCAGCCCCTGCAGTCTTCACTCATTTTGCTGACGTTCTACAAAAAATTTATGAACACGAAGGTCATGTTCCTCACATTCTACAGTATTTAGATGATTTTCTGATCGTGGGGGCACCCACCTCTACCCAAGCACATGATAATCTGCAAAGTTGCAAACAGCTATGTGAGGCCCTGGGGGTCCTCTTGGCAAAAGAGAAGACAGAGGGTCCCTCGACATCAATAACTTTCTTGAGATTTACTCTTGACACAGTCTTCGTTTACCTCCAGCAAAGCTTACGAAGATTAGGTCGTCGCTAAGTAACTGGCTACATCGTCGCTCATGCACTATGCGGAAGCTCCTTTCACTAATAGGTACGTTACAACATTGTTGCTAAGCCATTGTGCAAAGAAGGCCATGCCATTCCTGCATCGCCTTATTGACAGGTCTTGTTTGGTCGATGAGCTTCATCTTCATGTTCCTCCCTCCCTATGGGAAAGGGAGGACATTGCTTGGTGGATCGAACTAATGAACCCTTGGAATGGCCGGAGCTTATTTTACTTTCCAACGTGGGAACGAGTCCCAGACACTTCTATATCGTCAGACACAGCAGGGGCTGTAGGTTTTGCTGCAATCAATAGGCAGTCTTGGCTTGCTGCGGAGTGGCCTCCTGGGACTGAAAACTTAAGTATTGTGGTGAAGGAACTTCTCCCCATAGTCCCAGCAGCCCATATTTGGGGAAATTCATGGTCCCCTGCGCGCATTGTTTTAATGTGATAATCAAGCCGTGGTTATGCTTTTGTGAAAGGGTAGTTGTCAAGACCGTCATTTGCATACACAATTTTTTGATTGTGCATACACAATTTTTTGAATGTGCATTCACACTTTTTCAAAACTCCATGCACTTTTTTAAAACTTCATTAATCATTTTTTTGCGGCAACAGCAGGCCATACAGCCTATTTGCAGGAAATTCCAGCTTATTTCATTTTAAGAAAAGTTCACCAGCAGAACCAAGAATACCCAGACCACCAAGAGAATATTTCTCTGTAGATGGCAGTGGGGTTGATGTTAAAATTGAAGAAATCTTTTCCATTTAATTAAATGAGCAAGACAGAGATTTTGTTAAACAAAGGGGACAAAGACATTCTCTTGCATGGAGGGAGCTGAGGATTGGGAGGATAACTGCTTCAGTTGCACAAGAGGTGCTGCACACCGATATGAATAACCCATCAAAGACTGTTGTCCGCAAGACATGTTGCAAACCAAAGCCTTTAAATGTACCCTAAGTACTCTGGGGTCAAGATAATAAAGATGTGGCCCTCAAGGAGTATGAAAGGCAACTGAAAGCATCCCATAAAAATTTTATCATTGAAAAATCAGGCTTGAAATAAGATGCAGAATTCCATTTCCTTGGGGCATCAGCAGATGCAGTTGGGCATGGCGATTGCCATGGAAGTTTTTTAATAGAAGTAAAGTGCCCCTTTAAGCACAAAGACACTGGAACTATTGAAGAGTGTTGCAAAGACCAAAAATGTTGCCTTGATGATAATCAGGTTTTGAAGAGTGACCATAAATATATGACACAGGTGCTGATGCAGATGCATGTGTATGAAGTTCAATATTGTAATTTTGTTGTATGGGGACCAAATTTTTGTAAGGCAAATATAATTACATATATTATAATTTTTTTCAAAGTGTAAATCACCTTGTTGATTTCTATCACAAAATTATTTGTAAGGAGCTTGTGACCAGATCTCTTGAAAATGAAACAGCTTCAAACAATCAACAAGAGGTAGCCCCAGTTTACTGCTACTGCCAGAAGCCTTGTGATGATACCGAACCAAAGGTAGGATGTGACAACCCGTCATGTCAGTACCAATGGATTCATTTTCAATGTGCAAGGCTGAAGAGACCACCACGAGGAGCTTGGTATTGCAAAGTTTGCAAGAGAAAGAAAAGGAGTGAGACAAAGTAGCATGAAACACTCAGTAATGTTTTACGTTTGTAAATTTACTTACTATCTTTTTCTTTTAATACAATTCCAGTAGATAAATTAATTAAGGCAGAGCACACTTTAACAAGCTTATCAATATTGGGTGTTTCAGTTAATATTTCATTTCTAGGAAATTTAACTACAGTTAATGGTAGAGGCCCTTGCAATATTTTAAATCTGTTTTTTTATTGTCCAACACTTAGTTGTGTTTTGCTTTTTGTGAATGCTGGTGTAATTAGCTCAGCACATCCTTGAGAAGAAATCCTCTGTCAGCAAGCATTTGATCACCAGGCAGGTGATACTTTCTGCTTATAAATCCAGATGATCAAACAATTTGGACATCAGTGGCTCCCCCCCCCCAGCCATCAGACAAAAAGGTTACTGCTCCAAGAGGGCTACAGCTTATTAAGTACTTAACTGTACTAGGTTTTTTTATAATTAGAGTAAACCTGAGCACGCTGTTTTGAATTCTTTGGACGATCGATGAAAATCTTAAAGCAATCTATGAAGCTTGTAAGCCTGGGAAAATTCTGCCTAAAAACTGGAGGCAGAGTTTTTCTAATATGATCTCTGTCTGGCCAACAAACAAGAAACCCAAGCTTTGCATACATCAAATCAACAATCTTTTGAAATGTAGCATTGACTGTGCTTTGTGATATACCAGTCTGGTATATCTGGTTTCTCACTGGCAAATTTTTAATTGGTTTCTTTAGTGATGGGGTAACAAAATCACATGTGATTTTGAAAACATTAAATGACAGCCCTGTCAAATAGGTTGCATTTCCTTTCATCACTTCAAAGTTGATATTTGTGAGAAAAACCTAAAAAAATAATATGAACTGTCAAAAATAATATGCCATAAATAATAATGTTATCTGAATATAAAATTTCGTTTTTGATTCACTAATCAAAGTTACTCCTAAATGTAGTGACTCAGATGTGAATGGTCTTCTACACATTTTTTAATCTTAACTCGATGAGTTGTAGCTGTCAAAAATGGTTTCAAACCTTTTAAACAACTGTACTGTACCTATAACCTCAGCTGGAGGACCCGACAAAGAAATGTGCGTGTCTTTGTGGCAAGTTTCACCATCATTTTGTGAAACAATTTGGATTGAGATGCTTCTCTGTTAACCTGACAGCCATTCTAGTTGGAAGTTTTTTATCTTTCCTAAAAAAGTCCTCGTTATGTGCCCACTTTGCTACTCTGCCATCAAATTTAAAATCATATTTAAGTAAATTGTTTCTCACAGACTCAAGCAAATGCAGAGGTTGACTAAATTGAGTTCATATTTGCTACCAGATTGTTACCATGTCATAGATTGCAAAATATTTGTTAACATTTAGCTCAAAGAATGATTTATCGTCAGAGACTTTCATAGACTTCAAATAGCTCATGAAGTTTGACCCCTATCACTCACTAAAGAAACAACAGATAGGCCCATGGCTCCCGAAAGGGTCATGGCTCAATCTTCTTAAACTGCAATTTTTCAAAAGACTCATTGCAAGGCAAGACAGTATGTTATAGGCTGCTTCCATATTTGAATAATCCCTCTTGCCATCAAAATTAATTCTGAATTTCCAATTGCCCCAGAAGGTTACCCATTACCAAAATCCTCAGAGCAAAAAATGGAGTCATTCTTTTGGTCATAAAAATTGAGACTTCAGAGACACCTCATCCATAATCAGAGGGCAGGATTTTTCTCCAGGAGGTAATTGCTCTACTCTTTCCTTCAAGACAAAAAGTGATTTTTCTGTAAAGCCACAGCAAGAACCAGAAGCATACAAGGCTTGTTAGGGTCTTTTGCATGGCAAATAAAAATCGGGTAGGAATTGAATCTTGAAGCCTTCTCACTTACGTGGTAAAAAGCTTTAGAAGAATCATCATACCTCCTACCTTTTTTGGTAGAGGAAAGCTTCACTTGCTACTTAACAAAAGTAAACAATTCAGGAAAAATAGTACCCTTACGAAGTCCAAGAGCCTTTTTCTCAGCTTTTTGCCTTTTTCTATTTTAATTTTGTCCTTTAGGTAAGAAATCCTTTGCCTCTTGACTATCATTGGTTTTTTGAAGGTGTAACAGCTTGTAGTGATTTTAATATTGTAAATTAGGCCATATTCCTACTTCATGCCATCACCATGACATCCAACTACGTTATTCACAGCATCACCTAGCACATGACATTCCTTTCGCCATTGATCACACGTTCACACATCTATGTCATGCTGATTTCTTCCCAAGTCTAGATCTTTCCTTCTCCATTGCATCATCATTACATCATCACAACACATCATTACTCAGCACAATTATTTTGTAAATAAGTATGTTGTGACTTGGGCGGAACATAGGTGTGTACCACAGAGAGACACATGCTTTCTAACAAGAAGATATATATATATGATTATATGTGATTATTTATACTCAAGAGAGCGAACCTCTCTCCATGCCTCGTGCATCTAATTCTCATCAATACTATAACCTTCTTCAAGCAGCGCTTAACACTTCTTACCAACCGCTCCCACATTCCTCCCTGCCAGGGGGATCGATCTAGGATAAAATCCCATGTTACTCCCCGGGTTTCTAAGTAGCTGCTCAACTTAGGACTTCGAATTAATTGTTTAACTTCTTTGGACATTGTTTTGAATGTCTTAGCATTATCGAATATGATCCTTATTGGTAAACCTCTGCGAGCAGTGAATCTGCGGAAGGAGCGAATGAACGAGTCGACATCTAGGGCTTCCACGAGCTCTAAATGGACTGCACGAGTTGCAGCACACGTAAACAAACAAACATAGCTCTTATTATCTGTTTTCCCTTTAGTATAAATACCCTTATTCATCAAAGGACCGGCAAAATCTACTCCCACATTGCTAAACGGGGGTGAATCATCTACCCGTATTTTTGGCAAGTCAGGGGTGACATTAAATTTAAAAGTTGACCCTTCAAACCACTTACACTTGCCACATCTCCTAATATGCTTTTTTGCCATTTCTCGACCCCTGAGTATCCAGTATTTCTGACGAGCGCAGTTCAACGTTTCTGATATTCCATCGTGGAACACCTTACTGTGTGCCTCAGCAATGACAAGTTCCGAATAATAACTTTTCGACGGTAACAATATTGGCGTTTTACTTTCATTGACAACGCTTGCATGCAGAAGTCTTGACTTACACCTCAATAATCCTTGTTCATCAGTGAACAAATTAAATTGGTTTACCAGGGGTGGTACCTGCTTACTTTTCGATTTTCCTATAACAAATTCTATCTCCGAGTTAAACGATTGTTGTTGAATTCCCTTTATTAATACAGTTTCTGCTTGACTGATCTCATCTGCTGTAACCCATTGATCTAGTACCAAATTTTCCTTGCGAACGGACGATCGTAAATTGTTCAAAAATCTATGCACCCAAGCTAGAGAACGCAACAGCCTACCTTTACTGCTAAACCTGTTTATGTCTATTATATTGAGAACACTTGACGTTTGTTGGCCCTCAGTACTTAAATTTACGTGAGTGACTTCTGATTGTTTTGACCCTCTCTCCTCCGCAGCGGCAGAAGAGGAGGACTCGGTAAATGCTTGTGCGGGCCATTCCTGGGGAGGAAGATGTAAAAACGGCGGGCCCTTTAACCACAAGTTAGCACTGGATACCTTACTTAGATTTTTACCCCTAGAGGGTAGGTCGGCAGGATTTAGTGAACCTGGACAATAATGCCATTCTTCCCTTTGCGAGACCTGAATAATTTTTCTTACTCTATTATGGACATAAGGCTTCCAAGCTCGATCGTTTTTTATCCAGCAAAGAACCGCAACCGAGTCGACCCAATAAAATGATTGAATACGTGAGTGACCTAATTCATCCTCTAGTGTGGTTCTTATCGTTTCTACTAACTGAGACATTAAGCAAGCTCCTAGAAGTTCTAACCTAGGTATTGTCTGCCTTTTCAAAGGTGCTACCTTGGCCTTTGACGCAATGAACTTTACATCTACTTCCCCCGAGGTGTACATAATGCGAAGATAGACAACGCAAGCGTATGCTTTCTCACTGGCATCAGAGAATGCGTGAATTTCCATTTTCTCAACCGTATTTCCCTCTTGAAAAACAAAACGAGGTAGTTTTACATTAGGTACTTCATTTAGCTGCTTAAGAAGCGAATCGAATTTAGTCCTATAAGAACCCTGCAGTTCCTCATCCCAAGGTAATTTAGCCTCACATAATTCCTGAAATAGAAGTTTCATGTTAATAACGAACAAGCTGTAACATCCAAATGGATCAAAGATTTTCGCTGCAATTTTGAGAACGGACCTTTTAGTGGGCGGTAAAGATTTGGCGAAAATAGCGACACTGCCAATAGGAATTATCAATAGATCGCTGTCTGTATCCCAGTTTATGCCTAAAATTTTGTTGCTGTTTGAGGGCATACCGACTTTATATTTACTATAGGATTGATCATCTTCTTGAACCTGTGGAGAGATGTTAGAGGGGGTACTATCACAGAGAGATTTATCAGCTGGATTTATCTTATCTAATAGAGCTGCCTTATTAGAGTTCCATTTCCGAAGATTGAAACCACCCTTCTCCATTATGGCTTGACAATTTTGATAAATTTCAAAAGCTTCGTCAATAGAAGCCGCCCCGCATGACAAATCATCACAATACAAGCGATTTAACACCTTAGTCGATTTAGGATGTTGATCTGCAAATAAATTGACATGATAGCGAATCGTGGCACCTAAAATGCCGGGAGAGCAAGTTAAACCGAACGAAAGGCGTTTTATTCTGAATTGAACAACATTTGGAGACGCTGAATTGACGTCATCATACCATAAAAACCTAAGGGCGTCTCGGTCGGAATCCTTAACTTCTATTTGAAGAAACGCTTTTTCTATGTCTGCAGTTAAGGCAACAGCATGTACTCGGAAGCGAATTAAAGTTTCGAACAAAGGTGGTATAAAATTCTCACCTACTTCCAACCTGTCGTTCAAAGAAAGAGAATTTTCATTAGAACAGGCGCTTCCGTCAAAGACAACTCTCACCTTCGTGGTAACTTTATCGTCACGAAGGACACAATGATGGCTAATGAAATGACTGTTTTCATGTCTTAACTGATCGTTTGGCACAATTTCAATGATATCATTAGTTAACTGCTCCTTAATAATAGAATCATATTCCTTGAGCAATTCTGGTTTACCCTTCAATCGTGTGTAAACTGACTCGAGTCTACCTAAACACATTTTATAATCAGATGGTAATGGAGAATCATAGTTTTCCTTCCAAGGAAGGCTTACCGAATACCTTTCACCAGTAAACTCGATATCCAAAACCTTTTTGCTTGAATTCTCTGATTCACCGACATTTTGTGATAAGCCCCCAGCTTCGTGTTTCCAAAACGTTGCTAGAGCTTCCTTCAATTCCTCGGTTTTTGCAGGGTTTTCATTAGTTTCCTCATTCTGAGCTACGAATAGAGAACTTGATCGCATTTCGAAGGTAAGATGAGAAACAACATTAGATGAAAAATCAAATTCACTTTCGCCTGGGATTTGTCCTGATAGCAACCAACCCAATTTACTGCTTATTGCAGTGGGACCCGATCCTCCCTTCAAGGCATCTCCCAATACAAAATCAAAATAACTGTCAGCGCCAATGAGAATATCTATGCGATTAGAACGTCCTAATTTGCGATCTGCGAGCCTTAAACCATGCAAATGCGAAAAATCTATGATATCTAACTTTGCACCTAAGGGTGAACAAATAACGGGGTTAGTAAGCGCTCTAATTTCTACACTCTCGTTATCTTCGGTTTCTAAATACAACTTTACTTTACTGCATTCAAAAGGTTTAAACTTATCTGAACCAAACGTGTTCAATTTCAAATTTTCTTTGTTAACAGTGTCCAGCAATAGTTTCTCCTTTAGTTCTTCTCGAATGTATGAGCGTTGACTGCCATTGTCAAACAAAACTTGAACTTCGATCTTCTTGTCCCTGTTTTTTCCATACGCATACGTTGTAGCTGTTTGTAAGAGCACACATCCCTGTTGCGTAGCGGTAGCCGTGATAAAGCTGTCTTGAATTTTTGCATTCTTCGGTGGCTTATTTTCTGCCCTCTCGTTGTGTGATTGGCACAGAGATTGGTGATGGCGTCCCTTGCACTTTAGACATCCCCTTTGGCTTCTGCAGTCTTTTTGCAAATGCCCTAAATTCAAGCAATTAAAGCATCTCCTTGCCTTCATGAGTATACTTTTCCTGTCTTTCACACTAGTCACATTGCCGCATTCGTAGGAATAGTGGTCTCCTTGACAATAGTAGCATTTAACTGTCAATAGATGCAATAAAGGATCGAGTTGTTCCTTGTAATGATAATGGCACCTTGGATTGTGGAGGATTCCTTTCATGCCGTCTAGTCGACTGCGCTATGTTGTTCGCGATCTCCCTCGCTTCAATTTCTCTTCCGACGATACCAAGAATTTCTGTAATGTTCCAACAGTCTTCTGCCCTCTTTCTTGCGATTTGCATCGTAATTTCCTGTGGGAGGCGAGACATGATGATTGGAATCAAAAGGTTCCCATAACTTTCCGAAGGTATTCCCAGTGACTGTAATCCGCGAACTTGTTGTATATCGAATGTGTTGTATATAAATTGTCGTATATCTTTCTGAGATTTTCCAGTCCTTCATTTGGATGGTGTTGGAGCTTCAGTAATTTTTCCATGTGCGCATTGATTATCTGGTGTTTCTTCCCGAAACGCGATTTAAGAATTTCGATAGCGTGTTCATAATTTACTTCTTGTAAGGTCAAACCCTGTACTGCTCGATATGCTGGTCCCTCTAACAGACTGAATAGATAGTTCAGCTTGTTGATGCTTGATAAGCCAGGATTACTGTGCACTGCGCATTCAAAACTTTCCCAAAATGAATTAAATTGAGTTATGTCACCACTGAACTTCGGTAAACTTATCTTTGGGAGCTTCACAGTCGCATGAGCACTACTTGAGGCAATACTTCCGTTCAAATTTCGAGATGGCGATGCTGGAGTAGGCCCCCCGAGTGGAACTGCTTCGTGCTGTGTTTCACTGCCAGCCCTTGCTGGCGACGGTATTTCGAAACTTCTGCCCGCCATGACATTTTGAGTGGTGGGTAGCGAGAATGAGCTGCGATTTTCCCTTTGGAAATCTTCGATACGACTAACTGCTTCGTGAATTTTTGCTTCCCATTCCGAGGAATCTTCGACTTCATTTTCGATTTCCTCAACATTGCACGAGTCCAAGACCTTACTGTCCAAGTCTCTGAGATACAAAAGTTTCTCCTTTAACGAAACTTTTATCGAGTTCAAGCGAGCGATTTTTTCTTGAGATGATTGAGCACTATCGATAATAGCAAAAGCTTCTCTATAAAACTTCGTAACTACTGAGCGATTGCCTTTTCGTAAGGCCTTCCACCTTTCCAGGCGGCTTCGATCCTCGTCTTCTTCGGACGACATTCTGCGAAAATAAAATGGTATACCTACTGCCCCTGCCCCACGTTGGGCGCCATATGTTGTGACTTGGGCGGAACATAGGTGTGTACCACAGAGAGACACATGCTTTCTAACAAGAAGATATATATATATGATTATATGTGATTATTTATACTCAAGAGAGCGAACCTCTCTCCATGCCTCGTGCATCTACTTCTCATCAATACTGGCGACGGGAGGGTGTAATGCGAAGAGATGCCGGAAATGCCAAATATGGTAAGACCTTCTCACCATGTGTCCCGGAGCCCTGGACCAGAATGGAGGTTTTCTGTCTCCTTCGCAATAAAGTATGTTAATTTGTATGTAATTCAGTCAGTCAGTCAAGTTCAGTTCAGATCAGAGTTATACAGCAATACACTGCCTCTCTCACTGGCTCCGTGTTCTCTGCACGTTAAATAAGATATCGAAGCAAACATCAACGAATGAAAGTCATAGGATATGATAGGAACCATTGCAAATCATGCTACATATTATCGATCCTATAATGGTGACCACGACGTGACCTGCAACTCCATCGTTGGTTAACTGGTTAACTCTACTTTGACTTCAACACCAACACAATTCAACCGGACTCGTCATCATAAACTCAGCAAAACTCACTGGAATTATCGACAACAAACACATGGATACAGTACCACAAATCGCCACATGCATCTTGGCAGCACCAACACCACGGATCTCTCCAGTTTTCCACATCCAACTTCTCACAGGTTCTTGGTCATCTTATTCATAAAATCTTGGCAAACAATCAACACACTGCAGCACTCGACTCACCGTAGTGCCCCCAACGCATCGCAGCACTCGACTCACCGAAGTGCCCTCAAACGCATCGCAGCACTCGATTCACTGTAGTGCCTCCACGCAACAACATCGCTTAATACCTCCTCAACAAACTGGTTCCTGGTCATCCAACGTAAAAACTTCGCACAATTCTCCCAAATCACGAAAAGAAGAAAACACCGGCTAGGTCACAAACTCTTATTGCAATTACAACGGTTGGACATTTAAATTTCGAACACTTAATTTTTTTATCGCAATTCATGATTATTCATTTTATCAAAACACATTTTCTTCCTGGTATATCCACTATGTCATAAGAAACAGAGAGTTAACTGTTGAACTAGCCATCGTGGTGGATAAACGAGTTAGTAGAGGAATAAATACGCGATACTTAACGCCATTTTTATAATATCAAGCAAACGAATAAAAGAACACGAGGTAAGATCACAGGGTTACAAAGTTACATGGCCCAGTCCTCCTAACAACAACAGAAAATTTGTAACTATGATTAAAAACTAAAGTTTAATACTTAACACCCCCACTTAAACTTTATGTAGTAATTATATAATTATGAATTCTAGTTAATGAAGAACAACAAAACGCAATGTTATCAAATAGTTCAAGTTTATATTCCCATCATTACTGCAATAAATTTCTTGAGCTTGAAACTGGCAATTGGCTTTGTAAAGACATCTGCAATGTTCTTCGCTGTTGGAACATAAATCAGATCCATAATACCTTCTGAAACTATTGATCTTAACAAAATGATATTTTATGTCTATATGTTTTGATCTTTGATGTACCATAGCATTTTTAGCTAGAGCTATTGCACTTTGGTTATCACAATGCAGTACAAACTTGTCATATAAAGTAGAGTTTGTCACGTCTTTCAATAACTGCATTAAGAATATTGCTTCCTGTGTTGCTTCTGCTAAGGCCATATACTCAGCCTCGCAGGTAGATAGAGCAACTGTTCTTTGTTTTCTACTTTTCCAGGATATCATGGGTCCGCTGCTTACTAACTGGTATGCATAGCCAGTAATGCTTCTTCTGTCTTCCGAATTAGCCCAATCTGCATCACAATATCCGAATAAATGCATTTCGTCTTTAGATTTGTAGAATATCAATTTCTGATTCATTGTTCCTTTCAGGTAACGTAATACATGTTTTGCCATGGTCTCGTCAGCTGAAGTAGGGTTTGCCATGTGTTGTGCTAATTTGGTGACAACATAGCACAAATCAGGTCTAGTTGAAGTCATGATATATATCAAGCTTCCAACTATCTTTCTATACAACTTGGAATCAATTGGATCAGATGTATTTTCATTTGCCTTGTATGAACTTTCACAAGGAGTACTTCTTGTCTTGCAATCTGTCATGTGAAATCTTTCAAGCACTCTCTTAATATATTCAGTTTGATTCATTGTAATTTGGTTACCTTCTCTGCTGAACTGTATGCCTAAAAACCATCCAATTTCTCCTAGGTCTTTCATCTTGAATTTTTGGCAAAGAAAACTTTTTACTTCATTGAGTGAAGACATGTTGCTGCTGGCAATGATAATATCATCTACCCATACAATGATTATTATCATCGTGCTCCCAGTGTTCTTAGTGTATACACAAGGATCTGCAAGGGACTGTTCTTCCTGCATAGCAGTCTTCCAGTGACTTGCTTCACTAGAAACTAATGCCTCGTCATAGGTTGTTGGCATTTCATCCATACACATAGCATAACAAAAGTCAACTGTATAACCAATATCATCTGATTCAGTTACATAGTCCTTGAAATATTTTGGCAGTGTGCGTTCTCTTGTTGGGTATCTCCTTTCGTGTCCCTTTCTTTGGCTGTCTTCACCTGGAGGGTCTAACTGAGCAGACTGTTCAACTGTTTCCTGCAATTCAACCTTTTCATCTTGGTCAGGTTGTCTCTCTCTTCTTATAACTATGTCTTCTGTGTCAATGGCCTGTTCATACGAACTTGTACTGAATTTCACACATCGGACTTTCCTAATATTGCCACTATTTGGAAAGTAAATCAAGTAAGCAGGACTGTTTCTGTCATACCCAATAAATATGCCTTTCTCACTTCTGGCATCTAACTTTGTCTTGTTCTGTGTATATGCAAAGCACACAGAGCCAAATGTATTCATATTACCAATGTTAGGTTTATGGCCTGTGAATGCCTCCACTGCTGTCTTCTCTGTTCTTGGATTATAGCACCTATTCCTCACATATACTGCTGTCATCACAACATATACCCATAGTGACTTTGGCAGTGTAGATTCCAATAACAGACACCTTGCCATATCAAAAATGGATCTCCAGGACTTTTCCACTGTTCCATTCTGGTGAGGAGAATAAGGTGCACTCATTTCCTGTTTTATTTTATTCTCTATCAATAGCTGTTTAAACTTCACACTTGTGAATTCTCCTCCATTGTCACATCTCATCCTCTTAACTGTTCCATAGACTGCAACATCTGCTAAGAATTTCTCCATTGCATGAATGGCATCATTCTTTCCTTTCAGAAAGTACACCATGATCAGACTTGAGTAATCATCTACAATAGACATCACATATCTGAAGCCATTTCTGTCTGCAGGTTCTATCGGTCCAGCCAGATCAACATGTACCAACTCAAGTGGTGCATTGGCACGTTTATCTGGACTTCTGTTTCTGTACTGTGTCATTTTACCCTCTGTACAGATGTCACATTGGAAACTATCTTTACTTGTAATCTTCATACCATCTACAACACCTTCCAATTTGATAATATCTCTTGAATTACAATGTCCCATTATTTCATGCCATTCTTTCAAGGTGTGTGATGTACTCTTTGTCAAGACTGTACTGCATAGGTAATAAAGTCTACCACTCTTCTTTATATTGAATTTTGTGCCATTTGGACTGATTAATTCTGCTGAATTTTTCTTGAAATTTATTTCTGCCCCCTTTTCTGTAGCAGCTTGTACAGATAGGATGTTTTGCTTGAATGTTGGTACAAAAAGAGCATCTTTTAGAATTGCTTCTTGCTCATTACCATCAGAGTCTATAAGACAGATACGTGCATCTCCTCTTCCCTGTGCAGTATTTCTTATTCTGCTCCCATCAGCTAGTTCAATGAAATGTTTTTCTGAGT